CTCGGAGGGAATGTCTTGACAACGACGCCGGCCGCGCGAGGGCACGCTTGGGGAGGGGCACCGCCCCGAGGCACCTGCACTGTGGGAGGCACACACGCAGCAAGAACCCTTCAGGCAAATCCAGTTGGGGAAACTGATAAAATTATAAGGAAGAAGGGTGCTGTGGTGGGACAGGCCAGGCACCCCGCTGTCAATCCTAGTGGTCGGAGCCTTGGGCTCTGGGTCCCACTGGGCACGCAGCATGCACGAAGAAACACAAACACCTGCAGGCCTCTGACTCTGAGCGATAAAATGAAACACAATACGCATTCAACACGTAAGTTGTGCAAGGGTCACACATGCACACACGTTTTTCCCACGGCGCTCCGATGGGTTGCTGGCGGGTAAAGCAGTCAAAGGCGGGCAACGCTCAAAGTAAATTGAGCACCTACAATCAACTTGATAGTTTGCCACTTGGAACGTACGGCCAAATCGCGGGGGCGACGGCGACGGCGGCGACGACGGCGCCGGGAAAGGCACAGATGACGACGAAGCTGGCGACGGCGACGGTGCCAGCGGGGGTGACGGCGGCGAGAGCGGCGACGAAGACGACCAAGGTGGCGACGGCGGCGGTGGCGGCGGCGACGTCACGCTCTTGTTTTCTGTTATCGAACTGCCAGAAGGCTCGCGCTTGGTATAGACGAAGTGCTGGGGCGTAAGCCGTGGGCTGCTGGAACGCTCGCTCCCACATACATCTACGCATACATATATGCAGACATATGTAAATACACATATACAGCATATTGTTTATGTCTGTCTGTCTGTCTGTCTGTATGTATGTATGTTTGTATGTAAATACGTGTGTGTAGGAGACGCAAACGCACACGCATACGCACACGCAGACGCACACGAGCACGCACGCACGTACGCACGCACCCACAGACACAGACACAGACACAGGCAGCGATAGCGACAGCGACCGACACACACAAACACAAACACACGCATGCACAAACGCACAAACACACCACCACACACATACGAACACGCACACACACAAACACGCACACGCATACGCACACGGACACGCACACGCACACGCATGCGAACCTGCACGCGAACGCGCACGCGCACGCACACGCACAAGTACACGCACACGTAAACACACACACATACACACGAACACCACGCACACGCACACGCATGCGCATCTGCACGCGCACGCGCACGCGCACGTAACGCACGCACACGTAACGCACACGCACACGCACACGCACATGCACACGCACACACGCACACACATACACATCTACGCCCCCCCCCCAACACACAGACCCACCCACCCACCCACCCACCCACCCACACACGCACACCGCACACGCACACGCACACGCAACACGCACAGCGCACACGCACACGCACACGCACACGCACACGCACACGCACACGCACACGCACACGCACACGCACACGCACACGCACACACACACACCACACACACAAAAAAAACACACACACACACACACACACCACGCACGCACGCACGCACGCACACACGCACACGCACACGCACACAACGCACACGCACACGCGCACACGACGCACGCGCACACGCACACGCACACAACACATACATACACACACGCCACCCACACACACGCATTCACACACAAACACATACACGCACGCGCACATAGACACACACGCACACACACACACATCCACACACACACGCACACACACACCACACACGCAAACACGCACACACGCACACACACACGCACACACACACACACGCACACACACACACACGCGCGCACACACACATACACACACGCGCGCGAACACACACGCACACGCACACAAGCACACAAGCACGCACGCACGCACACTCACACACAAACACAAACACGCACAACACATACACGCACAAACAAACACAAACACAAACACACACGCACACAACGCGGAAACCACCTCTACGGGCACCAGGTCATTAATAATTATGTTGTCCATCCTTGCCACACAGATTCACGAGGCCCTCTTCATCCTCTTCCTTCCTACTGGGGGGGCCCTTGCGTTGGGCGGGGATGGACAGAACAGGGAGACAGGGGAGGATTGGATGCGAAGACCTGAGATGGATAACATGGGCAGGGGGAGAAGGAGGAGGAGGAGGAGCAGGACGACGACAAGAACACTAGCCCAAAGGACCCATGTCCGTAGGAGGACACCAGGGAGGGACGATAGGGGGGAAGAGCGAGAGGGGGAGAAAGACAAGGAGGGGGAGGGGGGAGGTGGAGGGTAGAGAGAGAGAGAAGAGCTTCTGGGCACCTGCCACTCAAAAACTTGCTCGCTCATTCCCTCACCCTCTCACTCACTCCTCTCCGCCCCCCTCCCCAGAGCTCGGGCCGCAGCCGACCACCGACAGGCGCGATGACCTATTGGCCCGAGCGTCGAGTGGAGCGCCCTACGCACAGACGACGGGCCGGGCGAGGTTCAGCTCGCCTGCCTCCAAGCGACGCGAGGAGGCGGGCTGCGCCTTCTTCGTCTTGGGGCGTAGCACACATGAGACTCCGTCCTCCTCCGCCTTCCTCCTCCTCCTCCTCCTCCTCCTCCTCCTCCTCCTCCTCCGCCTTCCTCCTCCTCCTCCTCCTCCTCCGCCTTCCCTCCTCCCTCCTCCTCCCCCTCCCTCCCCATCCTCCGCCTCCTCCTCCCCCCCCACACATCCTCCTGCTCTCCTCCTCCTGCTCCTCCTCCTCCTCCTCCTCCTCCGCCTTCCTCCTCCCCCTCCTCCTCCTCCTCCGCCTTCCTCCTCCTCCTCCTTCTTCTCCTCCTCCTCCTCCTCCTCCTCCGCCTCCGCTTCCTCGAACGGCATAGAACGCCGTCCGAAGCAGGCTTCGGGTGTTGCTAGAAGAGCCCCTGGCCCGAGGTGACCCCAGGATCTCCAAGGAGGCCCCCACGGCCTCCAGGGCACCTCTCACGAGGCCCAGGGGACCCCACGGGGCTCCAAAATTGTGCGAAAAGCTGCGGGGACCTTGGGCCAGGGACACTAGCAACCCCAGAGGCCTCCACGAATAACATGACAAGATAGAAAGCTCCGGAGCCTCCCTGAAGGAATTGCCCAGCAAGCCCCACCTGCCCAGCGGAAGGATATCCTGGCGATCTCCTAGGTAATGTTACGGATGTCCTCATCAATCCTGAACGATGTTTTTCTCAAGAACCCAATGGATGTGCTCATGATCTCTTCATGAGTTCACTCGGGCTCCTCAAGCTTTCATCTGGCATCCTGAGGGCTTCCAGCTGAATGCAAGAGAACTTTCCGCAAACATCCAAAGGGTTTCGTCAGAATTCCAGAGGATATCCACAGGAATCCTCAAGGCTTCATTCGGAATTCTAAGCCTTGGCGAACCCACGGAGAACCCATGGAAAATCCTGGTCAAAACCTGTGGAATCCTGGGAGGGTCCTGAAACTTGTCCCTCAAGAGTGCGACGGACTTCCGGCCGATCCCGGAGGAATTGATACGGGATCCTGTGGAGTGCCCTCCAGAATCGGAGGTGATTCCTTCGGCGACCTCAAGATGCCCCGCGAGGAGGACTCCGGCTGGGTTTCCGATGGAGAGCCGATCGGACGCCTGCAGGACTCTGCCCCGGGCGCCCTGCGCGGCGGACGCGCCCGCCCTCCAGTGGCCCCGCAACAGTTTACAGAGCAGTTTTTAATACATGGGATTGTTAAACATATATGGTTCTTCATACCTATACGACCACCCTTCGGGTGATAAGGAGGTTCGGGGGGGGGGAACCAACGTCTCACTCGATCGGTCTCACTATCGATCTCAGTATCGATCTCACTATCGGTCTCGCTCGATCGATCTCACTCGATCGATCTCACAATCGATCTCACTCGATCTATCTCATTCGATCGATCTCACAATTGATATCACAATCGATCTCACATCGATCACACAATCGATCTCACATTCGGTCTTAATATCGATCTCACCATCGATATCACAATCGCTCTCACAATCGCTCTCACAATCAACGTCATCATCATCATCAACGTCATCATCATCATCATCATCATCAACATCATCAACATCATCAACATCAACATCATCACCAACATCGTCATCATCATGAGGGCACCGTCATCATCATCATCATCATCATCATCATCATCATCATCATCATCATCATCATAATCATCATCATCATCAACGTCAGCATCATCATCGGGACAACATCATCATCATCACCATCATCATCTCATCATCAACATCATCATCATCGGGACACAGTCATCGTCATAATCATCAGCAGCATCATCATAATCATCATCATAATCGGGACACCATCATGATCACCATCGTTCTCATCATCAACATTATCATCAACATCGTCATCATCTTCGGGACACCATCATCATCATGATCATCGCATCATCATCATCATCGACATCATCATCATCAGCAGCATCATCATCTTTGGGGCACCATCATCATCATGAGCAACATCATCATCAACATCGTCATTATCATTATTACCATCATCGGGACACCATCAGCATCACCATCATCATCATCATCATCATCACCATCATCATCATCAGCAGCATCATCATCGGGACACCATAATCATCATCAGCATCATCATCATCAACATCATTATCGCCAGGACACCACTTCCATCAACATCATCATCACCAACATCATCGGAATCATCATCATCACCATCATCATCATCATCATCATCATCATCATCATCATCATCATCGGGACACCATCATCGTCATCATCATCAACATAATCATCATCATAATCATCATCCTCATCATCGGGACACTATCATGATCATCGACACCATCATCAACATCATCATCATCTTCTTCGGGACACCATCATCATCAACATCAAAATCAACATCAACATCAACATCAACATCATCATCATCATCATCATCATCATCATCTCATCATCTCATCATCTCATCATCTCATCATCTCATCATCTCATCATCTCATCATCTCATCATCATCATCATCATCATCATCATCATCATCATCATCATCATCATCATCATCATCATCATCGCGGGACACCGCGGGACACCGGCGGGACACCGCGGGACACCGCGGGACACCGCGGGACACCGCGGGACACCGGCGGGACACCGCGGGCCCCGGCCGCCCGGAAGGGAGTCATTTGGTCCGGCCGCGCCTCAGCCACACGGGACACCAGCGGGACACCGGCGGGACACCGCGGGCCCCCGGCCGCCCGGAAGGGAGACATTTGGTCCGGCCGCGCCTCAGCCACAGGAGACTTTCTCTCGCCCGCCCACGCAGCTTCGCCTCGCCCGCACGGCACGCACGAACACGAAACCGAAATCGATTTCCCGGTAGGGCGGCTCTCCGTTCCACTTCGATCTCACCCCCCAACCTCCGACATGATTAATTTATGAATAAATTTATGCATGAACTCATCGCTGTTTTTAATACGATATCCCTGCATTCTTAATACATGATCCGCACGCGGAGCATGTATTAAAAACGGCACTGTACCAGGAAACTTGGCCCTGGGCGTGCGAACGAGGGATCTGGACCAGAAGCAAACGACACGAACCCACCTATAGCCCCGGGGGGGCTTAGCGCATACCAGGAAATCTGGCGTGGGCTTCTGCGTGGTCTGCGCTGCGGCGCCCGCTGGGCCGCAGCGCAGCATGGAGGGCCGCAGGTGGGGTGGTGTCGCTTGTTTTTGGCCGAGAACGAGGGATCGTGGCCCAGGGGCCATGGATCCAGCGCAATCGACAAAGGACTGTGGCGCTGAGAGCGCGGTTCCAGCGCAGTTTACGAAGGATCGTAAAGCGCTGAGAGCTCGGCTCCAGCATGACTTGCCAGTGGTCGTGGTTCTGGGAGCGAGTACCCAAGGAAACGTCGAGGGATCGTGGCCCTGGGAGGGCGGATCCAGCGGAGAAGACTGACATTCAGACTTACAGAGCAGGGTGAGTCGTCCCCTGGCTCGTCCCCTGGCACGTCTAATGGCATGTCCCAATGCACGTGCGCGGCACGTCCCTTCGCCCGTCCCCTTGCTCGTCCCCTGGCGCGTCGCGCGGTACGTCCCGTGTCGCGTCCCATGCCACGTCCTCTGGCACGTTCCACGGGCACGTCGACTGGCGCGTCGCGCGGCACGTCCCCTGACCCGCCCCTAGCGCGTCCCCCGGCTCGTCTCCTGACGCGTCACCATGACATGGCATGTTCCGTGGCGCGTCCCATAACATGTCCCTGGTCGCGTTCCCTGGCGTATCTAGCGCGTTCCCTGGCTCGTGCTTTGGCGCTTCCCGTATTGGCGCGTTCACTGGCGGGTCCCGTGAGAAATCTCCTGGCATGTTCCCGTGGCACGTCCCCTGGCGCGTCCCCTGGTAAGCCCCTTGGCACGTCCCGCGGTCCGTCTCTGACATGCCCATGGTACGTCTTTTGCCCCGAGACGTTCCCTGGCATGTTCCACGGGCAACTTTCCTGGCCCATCCCATGGCGCGCCCCTGACACGTCCTGTGGCGCGTCCATGCGGCTCGCCCCGCTTCGGCACTGAATCGGATCTTGAGCTCGAGCTGGTTGAGCGCCCCAAATTTTTCGACTATAATCAGCTCTGGGTGAGCCATGCGGTCAGGCAGCTAGAGGAAAAGATCCAGATCAGTTCGGACAGGATGCGAACGCCAAGGACGACTGCATTCACAACGCACTGGAGTACAACAGAATTCAACGCAACATGAAACTACTCAATTCAACGCAGCACGGCCCAACATGCCACACCACGGTCTTTGGCATGATACTATCGCCAGTCAGATCCTATGCACTGCCACTGCCCATTGCCCATCTTAGAACAACTCAATATCTGTATTATACATGTTTGTGGGCCGATCATTTTTATTGAGAGGGCACTTTAACTTTGATGGTTGGAATCTACGAATTCACGAGGGGACTTGGAATGGAAGGGTATGTTGCAGCATCGTTGATGCAACTTGAGCTTACTCTGGTCCTCCTCCTCCTCCTCCTCCTCCTCCTCCTCCTCCTCCTCCTCCTCCCTGTTACTCTCTGCTCCCTCCCTCCCTGCTGCCTCCTCACCCTTCTCCTCGCCCTCGCCCTCCCCTGACGCACTTTCGCCCTGCTCCTCCTCCTCTCCCCGCCGTCGCCCCCGTGCCCCCCGCCCTCGCCCCCCATCGCCCTCGTCGCCCCCCCCCCCTCGCCCCTCCCGCCCCCCTCGCCCTCCTCGCCCCTCCTCGCCCTCCTCGCCCCCTCCTCCTCGCCCCCCGCCCCTCGTCGTTGCCCCCGCCCTCGCCGTTCGCCGCTCGCCGCCCGCCTGCCGCGGGAGGCGGCCGGGGGGCGCCCCGAGAGGGAGGCGCGCCGCGCCTGTCGCTCGCGGAGCGCCGCCGCTGCCCGGGCGGCGGCGGGGGGTGCGAGGCGGCCTCCGGGCGAGGGCGAGGGGGGCGCGAGGGCTGCGAGGGGGGCGAGGGCGAGGGCGAGGAGGAGGGCGAGAGCGGCGAGGAGGGCGAAGGGGGGCGAGGGGGGGCGAGGGGGAGAGAGGGGGGGACGAGGGGACGAGGCGGAGGGCGAGGAGGGTGGGGACGACGAGGGCGAGGGCGAGGAGAAGAGAGGGGACGAGGGGGCGAGGGCGACTTTTGTTGCTGAGCTCGGCGCCCAGCTCCTCCTGACTGCTGCGTAGGCAAGCGTCGACGACTGCAGTTGAGGGGAGTGCAGCTGGGCACGAGGGCGAGGACGGGTGTGAAGAGGAGGAGCAGCGAGAAGGGCGAGGACCAGGGGGAGAGAGGAAGAGCGAGTGAGCGAGCCAGCGCAGGCGCGGGTCCCAGACGGCGCCAGGCTACTGCACGGTGGACAGCAAGAGGATGGACAGAGACGTGCCAATCCTGCCGCCTGAATGGGCGGCCACACGAGGGCGCCCAGGCCTTGACGATGCCGCCAGCACCTCCCAAGGGTACGGTACTGGCGACGCTGCACACCTAGCGGCCGCAGAGGCGGGCGCCAGGCTAGACAGGCACAGCTTCGTTCGGCGCTAGGGAGGGAGAAGGGGAGGGAGGAGGTTTTCACCAGGCCTTGGGGCGCTGGTGGTTGGAAGAACCGATTATTCCAGCCTCCTTCTTCCCCGTTCTGGAAGAAGAGGCTGACCTCTACGATCAAACAGTGTGAATGCTACTCGACTCTCTCCCTTGACTCTCCGCGTGCTGTTTTGGCAGCGCACAGAGTTTCGAACACTGGTTTCTCCTGGCTGGTTTCAATCCGATGGTTTTCGGTGCTTCAGAGTGGTGCCCCCGCTCCAGAGTGGGCCTCATGGTCGGATCGGCTGTCTGCTCCCGCCGTTCAGAACGGCGCTCTCGCCTCAGTGCGGGCCACTTGTCTGGATCCGAGTCTTCCTTCATCGTCGCTGCCCCCCTCATTTCCCCTCCTCAGCCTTCCCCTGGTCCTCCTGTTCCTCCCGCTCCTTCCACTCCAGCTCCTGCTGCCGATGTTCGTCCTCGTCCTTTTCCTCCCCACCCGCCACCTTCTCCACCCCCTGTGCACGCAACGTCCCTTGTCCGATAGCGCATAACACGGAGTGGTCCTTCTGTTGGAGTTGCAGGTCGGCTATGACACGCGGCCACGTGGGAGGGCGGAATAGGATGCCAGATGAGGCCCGATCGCACCTAGCTAGCCCCCGGCACCCTTTCCCTGGTCCTGGACCTCCTCTCCCCCCCTCCTCCCCCCCCCGCGCCCCCCTTCCCCCCTTCCCTCCTCCTCCCCCTCCGTCCTCCCCATCCTTTCCCCTCCGCCCCCCCCCCCCCCCCCCCCCGCCCGCTCCCCTTCCACCCCTCCTGACAGACGTCCGAAGCTCCTGCTAGAGAGCACCAGGAGGGCCCCGGAAGCTCCCAGACCTGCATGGTGGATGGCTCTCAGGATGGCCCCACGAAGCTCTTCAAGGCCCACAGGAGGGCCCAAGAGGGTCCAAGAGGGCCCCAAGAGAGCTGCAAAGGCCTCCCCTATGGCCCCAAGAAAGGGCCCACGATAGCCCCAAGACGCCTCCCAAAGGCTCCCAGAGTGTGACTCCACGCTGCTGCACCTCCCTGATCGGGGCAACCTGCCCTGCAGGGGGAAGAGAACACACACACACACCCACACATAAAGGAGGAGGGGGCAGACTGATTCGCGGCTTCGGGCTGGCCGCGCACGGCCTTGGAGCCACAAAAACAGATGTTGGACTGCCCCGCGGGCCTTCTTGGATTGCACCGGGGGCTTCCCGCCGCAGGGCAATTCGGTGGAGGCCAGTCCACAGGACACCTTCCACAAGAAACCCAACCCTGAGACCCCAGGACGCCCACGGATCTCTGGCGCGAGAACGCCGCGCTCTCCGTGGACAGAGCCATCGAAAGCCAGGAAGCCCAGGGCAGCCCTGGAGGCAGGCAGGGTGCTCCCCGGCACGGGTTTTTCCGCGGTGCCTGCACTGCAGTGCCGCGTGGCGACCGGCCTGCCTCCCTTCTTCTGCTGCAGGAGGGGGGCGAGGGGCGAGGGGCGAGGCGAGGGGGGGGGCGAGGCGAGGCTCGAGGCGAGGGGGCGGCGAGGGGGCGAGGGGGGCGGCGAGGGGGCGAGGCGAGGAGGCGAGGCGAGGCGTGTGTTCGGACCGCCTCGGCGCGGTTTGCCGACAGCCATGCCTCGCCCTGCCCTGTTTGGCCGTGCTTCGCCACGGCTCGGGTCGCGGGTCAGCGTGTCCGCACGCTGCCGGGTGCGAGGCATCTGTCCCGCCCTCCCTCTGCAGAACGCTGGCGGAGTATTGCGTCCGAGGTGGGCTTCCGCATGACTTTCTGGGCGAGGGCTCCGATGTACTTCAAAAAGCGGATGGGTTGTGGATTCTGCCTCAGCAGTACCTGATGTTCGCTCGCGCATGTTGATTGGTGCCTGCTGTTCGCGTGAGTATTGATATTGTGCGCGGCCATTTCACGCCCAGGGAACTGGATCTTCATCCTGATTAGCCTTGTCGTCGAGAATAGAATCCTGAGTTCGGATATCTCTCTCACATGGTCGTCTTCGAGGGCGCACCGTGCATACACTCACACCACGTACATTGCACCACATATATTGCACCTCGTGGCTCATATCAAATACGGCGCACCACGTAGATTACACCGCATAGCTCACCTATCATAGCTCACACTATTGCACCACACAGTACCTCAGCATTACGTAGCTTGCACGGCACTACTGCACCATGTATATTGCACCACATCGCTTGCACCACGTATCTTCCACCGCCGTGTATGTATACACATATCTACACATACACACAGCATATCATAGTCCACGTAGCTCGCACCACACAGCTTCCACAGCATAGCTGATGCCATATGCTCTGCACCACAGAGCTTACACCGAGTACCTCACGACACAAGTGTTGCACATACGTTGCGCCGAATAGCATTTCACATCTTATAGATCACACGCAATAGCTTACACACCCGCAGTGCAACATCTCACCGCGTAGGATCCACGCTGGCAAACATATATGCACTAGAACAACGCGCGCTTATGTTCTAGCAAGGGCAAAGCCAGCGACCCAGAAGATCAGCGGATTGTTACGCACGCCATCCCACCACGATCACCACGTGGGAACATCTGCGCTATCGTGGGCACACTGGTGCGTAGCGGCACACCCCTCACGTGGAGGTTGTCCCGCAGGTAACTGCACTTAAAGAGGAAGCTTCGCGTAGCGTCGCCACACTCACGTCGGCACACCTCTCACGCGGAACGTGCCCTGCAGGGAGTTCTACCAATGGCCCCAGTGACAACCCGCATCCCGCCCCCCCGCCTACTGCATCACGCCTCTCACACTGATCGTGCCCCAAAGGGAGCTCCATCGACGGCCCCTGAAGTGTGCATAGCGCCCGCCCCAAACCCATCTCGGCACACCCCTCACAAGGACCGCGCCCCACATGGAGCTTCGCCTGCGGCCCCGTTGCATAAGGGCACACCTCTCACGCGGAGGTTTTCCCGCGGGTAACTTGCACTTTGAAAAGGAAGCTTCGCGTAGCGTCGCCCCACTCACGTCGGCACACCTCTCACGCGGATCGTGCCCTGCAAGGAATTCCACAAATGGCCTCAGAGACAAAGTTCGCATCCCGCCCCCCGCCTAATGCGGCAAACCTCTGACACTGATCGTGCCCCACAGGGAGCTCCATCGACGGCACCTAAGGTTTGCAAAGCGCCCCGCTCCCCCCCCCCACACCCATGTCGGCACACCCCTTACAAGGATTGTGCCCCACATGGAGCTTCACTTGCGGCCCCATTGCCCCATTGCATAACGGCACACCCCATCACGCGAATACTTCTGACCCGCACTTAAAGGGCAGCTTCGCGTAGCGTCGCCCTGCTCACGACGGCACACCCTTCGCGCGGATCTTGCCCTGCATGGAGTTCCACCTATGGCCCCAGAGGCAAGGTTCGCGTCCCGCCCCACCGCCTACTGCGGCACACCTCTCACACTGATCGTGCTCCAGAAAGAGCTCTATCGACGGCCTCTACGGTTTGCACAGCGCCCCCCCCGTCCATTGCGGCACACCCCTCACGCGGAACGTACCCCACAAGGAGCGCCACCCACAGCCCCATAGACAAGGTAGGCAAATCGTCCCTCCGCACACAGGCCTCGGACAAAATTAGCGAACACATGCCACATTCATCCGTCAACGCCTCCACGTCCCCCCAATGTTCAAAGTTGGTGGTGGGTCTGATGAGATGCACATCGACCGCAGTCTCCCCCGCGCGTGCCAACATTGAGTTTGGGGGGGAGAGGGAGTGTTCAGTCACTGTTTCCCTCTACCGCGTTTCCCAATGTTCACGCGAATTGTGCCCTGGTGCGAGCTCCACCGGTGGCACATATGGGCAACTCCGCATGGCGCCCCCCCGCCCATTTGGCACATGCCTCACACGGGTCGTGCCCCACAAGGAGCTCCACCTGCGGTCTCAGTGGGCGGGTTCGCGCGAGGGCCCTTGGATTATTCGGCACCCCCTTCACGCGGATCGTGCCCCACGCGGAGTCCAACGCGCCTGCGCACGCTTGCTCCGCAGTAGCCCGCCATCGGCTCAATCCCGCGGCGCGCAATTTATGAAGAGAGGGCCGCGCCCTGCGCTACACGTGATTGCGTAGCGATGTGTCCGTCGCCAGGTAAATGGTTTGCTTATCGAAGACGCCCACGGCGAATCACCGCCGCCCCTTGCCTTTTTGGAAGCGCCTATGTGGCCGAAAGTTGGGGCCAGACCTGCCAAGCTATCGGACCATGTGTTCCCCGAATCGGTTTGGAAAGCCTTCGGGGAATACGTGGGCATCTTGAAGGTCATCTTGGCCGCTTGGAGGCCATTTTGACCCTTTCGGGCCTTCTTGGAAGACGTCTTGGAGGGCTCTTGGGCCGTCTTGAAGGCCATCTTG